GTGGCTCGTATTCCAGACGCGATTCTTCACAAAGTTTCTCCCACCCACAAAATTTTGGTGAGATATTTGCGAACTGTTAATACAGATGAGCCAACTGGAGTTTTATTAGATGTTGCTACTCCATCTAAAACAAAGAAGGCTAGCAAGAAACTTGCGAAGGGTTCATCATCATCAGTACCAGCTGAAGTCATTCCAACTGAGGAACCTTCAAAGAAGTCGAAGAAGGAACTCTTACCTTCCAAGTCTGGGGTACTGAAGCAGATTTGCAAAGCGGAAGTGAGTAGTAAAGGTGTTACTATTCGCAATATTCCAGCGCCAGTATCTCCAACAGAGAAGCGACAACGAGCTGAACACGTTGCGAAAAATATGCAACGTACAATGGTAAAGCGAAGAAAGATGGTGATTCGCAATGAATCATATGAAGAATAAATTGTCCCAGAAACTCCACCTGTCACCACAATGGTACCTATTTCTTTACCCATCATACCCACTTCGCAAATTTCTACCACTGTCTCCCAAACCAAACCACTCGAAATAGTTCTTACCAAATCAGTTACTGAGGAGGTTCCTATTTCTGATATGGTTGTCAACGTATTTGATACGGGGGCACCTATCCTGTGTGTTGCATCATCTATTCAAACAACCTTACCCATTTCATTCCCTGTTACCACTTTATCTACCACTTCAAACATTTTTGACCATGCTCTTCAAAACCTTTTCACCACACTTTTCCCTTCGCAATCACCTGAAAATCCTCAACCTTCGCAACCATTGTATGAACCAGAAGTCGAAGGAGGTGCCTTTGGTGGGATACTTGATGATATTCCTTTTGATTCAGGTGAAGAAGATATTCCTGATCATATGCTGATGACAGGAAAACAATTTAAAATACTGAATTAAAATTTGAAGACCATTATTCAATCACAGGCTGATTCTGGTCGAATGTCTTCAATATCTGCCATGGAGATTGATATCATGATCAAAGGAGTAGAGAAACGAATAATGGAGAAAATTGCTCAATCTGTTAAAAACAATGAGCTCAGAATTATGTCTCAAGGCAATAATTTTAATTATGTAGTTCAAGATCTTCGCGCAGTTACAAAAGAACGTCATGTTCTTTTTGTACAAGATGTTAAAAAGGTTCGTGAAGACGTCAACTTCAAAATTCAGGAGTTGAAGTCTGAACTTGCGAAGGATCTTCAGGATGTCCACATCAAACAAGATGAAGTTCAAAAGCAAATTGTGGATATTTCTTCTCAGCTTCAAAAGCTGCATAATATTCCTGTTCTTGCCGATCACAAAGCAGAAATAATGATGAAGTTTGATCAGCTCATCCAGTTGGTCACTGATCTAAAAACAGCTCTTTCGCATTCTTCCTCCTCTCAAATTCTTACTCCTGAATTCTTGTCTCTAAAGATTAATACTTTAGAACAAGCTATTCACAAAGCCCTTACTCCACTCACAAATTTCACTTCTTTACTTCCAAAGAGTGCTCCGCCTGTTTCCACAGGGGTGCAAGGGGGAGAAGAAGGATGAAGCAAAGAAGAGGATGCGAAAACTGTGGGAAAGATGATATCAACTCAGTTTGTTGCTACTCTTCCAATTCCTTCAAAGCCGATTTCTGCAACAACAATCACCACAAGAACAATTACTAAAGGTATTGTTATTGGAAGAAATGAAGGTGGTTCAAGCTCAAAACCCCAACATGATGTTGTAGGAAGAGGAAAAGGAATTTTATATGAAAAATCAAAAGAAGAGTTGAAAGCAAAGGCTGAGGCTGAGATGGAGAAGATGAGGCAAGTCCAGAGCATTATGAGGCAACGGGCAAGTGATCCTCCCTCCATGAACAAAGGAGATCCTGCAAAACTTTACTCTTACGAAACCATAGAGTCAAAAGTTGTGTGTAGGGAGATGTATGAGTTCGAGAAGAAGCAGAAGAGAAGTTATGATATTGCGAACTCAGATCATTGCCAGTTGGACTTCCCTATCAATGAAATGCTATTCATCAACGCACAATACAAGATCAGTGAGAAATTTGATAATCCGAATGATTATACTCAAATGAAAATCAGATTTCATGCTGTCTTGGGGAAGAATCCTGATGAAGTTTGGTCGTTAATGAAGATCAAAAAGGTTGTGACGATAAAGAAAGATATTTTGTTTGAAGAGATGTTACAGAATTTCAGATACTTTGTTATCAGAGCTGACAACAAACAATATGACTTCACAGTTGCTGACTTTCCTTTAATGAATTGCAATGACTTAATTCAAGTAGCACTGATTTTGAAGCATATGGAAGAAAACAATCTCAAAGGCTCTGATACAGATGTGTTCAAAGCTGGCTTCGCACATGTGAAGACTTTCATAGACAATTACTTCGATTGTCTAGCCCTTACTGATGATGAATTAGCACATGTTGTGGGAAGGGAAGTGAAAGTTCCATGGGAGGATACTTTGACACAATCTGCTTTGTCAAAGTATGCTGTTGGAGAAATCTGCCTAAAACCATTTGGTATGGTGTTTTCAGGCAGAAACACAAAAGGTAATCCGAAGAAATTTTTGTTCAAGGTCTCAGAGATTGAAAGATACAATTCTTCGCAATATACGCACTTCATTGTACGTATGAACAATTGCAAGAAAAATAACGAAGGAGACAAGAAAGATTTGAAGAAGGTGATCTCCTGGTATGGAGAGGTGCAAAAGGCAATTCACTCTGCAATTCAAAAGCTTATGAGTTGAATTGTATCGACTGTTTACAAAGGGGGAGAATGTTGATGTATATTGTAAAAGTCGAATAGAGTGTTTTGTATAGTTTCGCATTTTATGTTATTTTACTAAGTCATCTTTTGTGCGAAGTTAAACTGTATAGTCTTAGTATATTTTTTGTTGTTCCCTATAAATAGGGACTTAGGCTAGAAGTTGTAGTACGATGCCAGAACTCACTTCTGCTTAACTTTGTAATTAGTCTTTATCAATATAAAATCTGATTAATATTTACTCTCTGTGTTCTTCATCTTAAATCATTCAAATCTATCTTTTCTTTTCTAAATTCTCGATAACAATTCTCATCATGATTCGATTCTCAATTTGCAATTGTTCATTTTAATAAAAATCTAACCCAAAAATGATTTGAATTTGTTATTATTCATCTTAAGCCCAAAACAGAATCCATTACTGTTCATTGCTTGTTAATCCAATTTGAGCCCACATGTTTCGAATATGTTCCTGACCATGGATTAATTTTCAGTCCACTAGTCCACGTATGCATCGATTTCATTTTTTGAGCCCAAAAATCATTAAACCCAATGTTCGATACTAAATCGATGTTTTTCGTATTCGTCATCTACTTACTCAGTTTTATGTTATGATGCTTTTGTCTAGATTATTTATCAAGTAATTCTTGCGTTTCATTTTCGTTTTAACATTTCTGATTAATTGATTAGAATTGTTCGTGAATCTAGGCTTGTGAATCGACTGGATATGATTTGTTCTATTATACACTACAAGAAAAAGACCCTTTTACGATGCGCAAACCACGACACTCGTTGATTTATGATACGCAAAGGATAGTGACATTAAAAAAATGTCATCTCTTCAAAAAATTGAAGGATAGAAGACACGCATTATTGCGTGCCCTTAAGTTAGTGTCTAAAAAAAAACACGGAGGGCACCTATAATAAAATGCGCGTCGTCTGAGGATGTCGCTTTATATGTTTTAATGGAACACGCGTTCCATCCTTTAATAGTGGGGAAAGGGGGGAAATGAAATTCTGAAAAAATTAAAAACCCGCCTTCCTTTTTTTCCTTTCCCTCTTGCCCTAATTATCGACGCTCCTTCCTTCCCCCTCCCGACATTGACTTCCGCCTACTTCTTCCATTGCACTTTGACCATCGTCACTTGCCATTCCCAGTCGTCGACGTCGATCAAGGCAAGCATGCCACCAGCCGACAACCTTCACTCTCTCCTTCTCCTTTTCTCTATAAACCCTAATCTGCCTCGAACACTACCGAATCCCTTTTGTTTATCCTAAAGGAATAACGCAACCTAGCTCGTGTCTCAGATCAAGTAATCCGACGTGAAGTTAAGAATTGAGGGTCCGCTTCAGGTTTGCATCCTCGCTGACGTGCAAGTATCACATCATCGCTTGTACATTGTTTATTTCGTTTTAGACATGAATATGTTTACCCCTAAAAATATTGAGCTCGTTCATATGTACATTTCCACTCCATCATCACAACCATGGTGGTCGCAGCCATTGTTCACGCCACCATCAGCTCCCTTCATAGTTTCTATTAAAATTTTTCTCCGATCTTGAAAATCCATCACAGAACTTCAAAGAACACAAATCATATACGTTTTCGTCTCTGTTTTCTGTTGAAGATGTTCTCGTTCTTCATAATTTTCGTGCCAATTTACAGTCAAACATTGAAGGTTATCGTGAAGGCTCCAACTCAATTCCGGTATAATTTCTTGCTTCACTTTCAACTTGGTTTTTAATTGGTTTTGTGACAAAATTACAGTGTCCTTGGTTGTGATTAAAAGGTTGTACATTTGCTAATACCTTTGCTTTTAGATGAGCACCAAGTGCTCGATGAAATTCCCCAACGAGATGTTTATTGATTGGTTTATTTCTTGAACATGTTTTTCCTTTGATTTCTTGATTTTTCTAATATATGGAGCAATTCCTCTATCATGTTAACCTTACTTGTAAGGTATCCCATTTCTTTTTATTATAATGTTATTGTACAATATAGGAATGAAAGAAGCCTAGATGAATTGGGTTTAAATATTTGTGATACGAATTCTATGGAATGGCCAAGAGCTCACTTGTTTAGAATTTTTAAACATTGAGATTCTGTACACAAACCAATTAAAGATCTTGAGCTTACAGGGGTTTCAATTTTCATAGTTTTCATTTTCATGTTATATATATACACATTCCTTTATCTGTTTTGATTCATCTATGACACTTAGACTTAAAGCTTTTTCCTTTTGACAGATGGCTGAATACAAAATATCAATATATGGAAGCAAGAAAAGTGAGTTGGACAATTTGGCAAGTTGGATTGTAAACAATGAATTATATAGTGAGAATATTGTCTGGTTGATTCAGGTGATGTATTACTATAATACAATGATACATATACATGATATACTCAATTTCACCAAATCTTTATACTTTAATATCAACTAACATTATAATTTATATGCATACTTTGTGTTTTTCAGCTACCCCAGCTTTACAACATATACAAAGAAATGGGTATTGTGACATCATTTCAGACCATTCTGGATAATGTCTCCCTTCCACTCTTTGAGGTTACAATCAATCCAGATTCACATCCCCAGTTGCATGCATTCTTGAAACAGGTAACACCACTCAAACTTAACATGTCACATAATTTGAATTTTATTTATTTTATTTAATGTAATGTTTTAACAATCTTATAAATACAATACAAGTGGTAGGACTGGATTTGGTGGATGATGAGACCATCCCGTGATTTGGCTTAACTTGCATGAATTTCGTAAGTTCATTTTCTCAATAACTATTTTTTTTTGTTATTGAATATTATGTTATGGTTTTGTTGTATATGTATTAGGTTATCCAAAGATCATTCACAAAGATCTTATAGTCTTAATTATATGTCAGCAACTCAGCATCTAGAGATCTATAAAAGGTAAAAATATCAAAAATGTTATTACAGTGATTTAAATTTCATCTAGTTCATAAGATGGTTTAAAAAGAAAAGGAAAGGGTACTTTGGTCCATGTATTGAATTTTGGTGTACTAGCTGCAAGTTTAAGAGGACTACGTGTACTCAAAACTTGGTTATTTGGAGAAGCAAAACTCTTGAAGCGTATTCTTTGTAGAATCTTCATTTTCTTATTAAGAACAAGTTTAATTTGGGGGAGGCCATGCTAATGTTCGTGTCTTTATTTTTCCATTATAATATAAAATTTTCTATCTAATAAACAATTAACTTAAAATATTTCATACCTTCTTCCTAGGCTCATGGGAACTCATTCCAGAAGAAGATTTTGCTACTGTTTGGATTTGGGGGAGGCCATGCTTCTACTTCTTCCATGGAAGTTCTATCCCCATTCTACAAATTCAGCCATGATTTCTTAACTCTGATATAAATTATCTGTTAATTGCAGTTCTTAGTTTGCATTGCGTTCATACCTCTACATTCTGTTCCATTATATGGTGGGTTGGCCAGCTTCACAGATGTATAATTGGCTCGATGAGGAAAAAGTAATACAATTCAACACGTTCTATAATCATTCCAATTCCATTTATATCCCTGTTAATTTCTACTTCCATTAACATAATCAATCTAATGATTTCTTCATCACATTCTAGGTAAGAGTATTATACGCTGTGAGAATCTTTCTTGGCCTTCTTTCTGTCATATCTGAAGCTGCTTTAGTAGTAGCACTTTCTAGAAAGTATGGGAAACGCCTTGCTTGTTACACACTCGCCCTTTTATGCTTAACAAGTGATTGCTTTTTTGCTAGCACAAGTAAGTTCCCAAATGCAAGAATTATCAATCTAATTTCATTTTCATATTAAGTCTTTTTCATAACTTTTACAGTTTTTTTGCCAAGTTCTTTTTCTATGTATGCAATTTCTCTCTCTTCAGCATTGTTTCTTTTTGGGATGAATCTCATGGTTGTTGCTGTTGTAGCAACTGGAGTTATTATTGGTTGGCAATCTTCAGTCCTTGCTTTTCTTCCAATAACAGTCTACTCTCTTCTTCGAAAATTCAAAAGGGCATTTATATCAGGGGCATTTATTTCAATTACACTTTTGGTACATAATCTTTTTATAAAAAAGTAGTTTCTAACTCTCTGCTTCGAATTATTACAACTTGTCATTTTTTGCACCTAAGTTTCTCTCTTTCCTTTTTCTCATGACAAGTTTACATTTTACAAGACTTTACCTTGGGTTTCAATAATTACAAAGAGCTCTACATTTAACTGTATAAACATGTAGTAGAATACAAGTTCTAAGATTTCTAACATGACCTGAAATTACCATCAAAATATTAAATCTTTGCAACAAATAAATTAAAAATTGAAACTAACTTAGCATCTAACTATATATACACATGTGTTAAGAGTTCTTGAAAAGTGTTTGTCTTCGATCATGCACGTCATAATGCTGCCATCAAAGTTGACCTTGTAGCCTCACATTTCATCTCTGCAGCTTTTCCACTACCACGGAAGTATGAATAAACTTGTTGCATATCAATAACAAACCACATACATTGAAATTAAAGAAAAAAGGGGAAGATCATGATCTGATCAGAAGATGAAGATCAATATTTCAAAACTAAATAACCCAGATGCTGATTGCTGTTTCAATGAAAAATAGTCCAAATCCAATGAGGTAGATACCATGAAAATGAAGCCGGATGATGAACATATAATGTTGAATAAGTGTTTTCTTTTAAATATTACTACGTACCCCAAAAAAGTATAACCCTGGAATTCCTAATATGATGTAGATAACATCACATAGCCAGATGGTCATTTAGTGTACCTCATTTAGTGAAACTTACCTTCTTTAAAGCAACAATCTTTGTAGTTTCAAGGTCTCGAGCTCTGTACACGCTGTTGTAAGTCCCCTGTATTTTACAATTCCTTTTATAGATTGCATGCATTCATATAAACCAACCAAAAGCCCTTTATTACATTGTTTCTTATTTGCAGTTGACAGAAGCATTTGGGAAGTTCTATGGAAGCTCAAAATAGGGAACCAGCAATGATAAATCTCGTGTTGGTGTTCATGACAACTGCATCAAGTATATATCACCATTCTTACTTTTTTTTTTCTAATTTAATTTATTCTTCTTAATTTTAATGTAGTTGCTATCTTATTGTAGGCACACATAGGTTTTCTCTTTGGTAACTCAATTTTACCCATTTGAGGAGATACGTTTTTTATTATTTTTTTTCTTTTTTCCTTTCTGAGTGTGGATATGGAAACTTCATGCACAATTTTATTATAATTATTTTCCAGGTCATATGAATGATTAAATGTCGACACTCGACATGCACCTGAATTCTATATTTTTTGGTGCTTGTAGAGTGTCATGTATTGATTGATTAATGGTTTGGTTGAACACAAGTCACATGATACTTCATGCAAAGTTTAGATCATATTAAATTGTTAATGGTTCAGTTTAGAATTCAAGCGATGTCTAATGTTTAATGATCAATTTCATAGGCGATGACCTTACATGTGACAATGCAAATCTTGAAGGTGAATCAGGGTCACGCACAATTCTTGGTAGATAGGTCAAAGGAATTGTCACGGAGCAGGTTGTTATAATGCTTCACCTGTTCAAAATAGCAATTTACTCTCTTTATTTTGTTTATTGTAACATTATATATTGTAAGAAGTAGAATTGTATGACATTAAATTTTATGCAATGGATTGTATTTTTTTATATGGTATTTTATTTCTATTATGAGACATTAAATACAAATTTAATTTAAAAATTAATAAATATTTTTTTAAAACATTTAAATTTACGATACGCAAAAATGTGTGTCATCTTCATTTATGACATGGCCTTTCTTGACAGGGGTTTTAATGATACGCATTGTGTGTCATTAACACGTGCGTCGTAAGGTTACGACACGCGAATGCGTGTCGTCTTCCTTTATGACAGGGCCTTCCTTGATACGCATTGCGTGTCGTAAATGCGCGTCGTAATTGCACGTCGTAAATGAGCGTCGTAAATGCGCGTCGTCTCTCTTTATGATAGGGCCTTCCTTGACGCGCATTTGCGCGTCGTCTGAGCCTTTTACGACGCGCAATGAGCGTCGTAAAAGGCTGTTTTTCTAGTAGTGATAAGTCGATTATATCAAGTTGAAGTTCAAATTTGTTAATTGATTCTTTGGTTTTGAAGAATATAATGAAGAACAGTTGTATATTTTTTTGTTTGATCAGATATTCGATGCTAGAATCATAAATTTTGTGTTTGTTGACAATTGGAATCAAAAAGTCAAACTTAAAAAGTGAAAATCAAATTCTCAAGTGTCGATTCAATGGATTGAAGGTTGAAATTGGTTGATAAATGTCGAATAAAAGGTTGTTTGGTTTCGAAATAGTGTTTTATTGGAATATAATTTTGAAATTGATTGGGTGAGTGTTATTGGTGTCAAACATTATGATGTGACTTCTGGTTCACATCTAGAAAGTAAGATGGAAATTGAATATTTTGTGGTGAATATTGATTTCGAATGATGGAGACATGGAGTCAAGATGAGTTAATTTCGATATGTAGTATCAAACTCGAGTTAGAGTTGGATATTAGAGTATAACGGTTTTTGACTTGTTTTGGTTGCTCACATCGAAACGTTATACTGATCTGGGTCTAAAGGTAGAAGTCAAACTTAATTTCGACATGTAGTTATTGGAAGTTGTTCGATATTTGATTTGAAATTTCGAATAATGCTGCTTTGAAGCCACATAGTCAATTGAAAAGGTTTTGGAGTCGAGTGATGTTAACTGGGTTTACTGATATCGAAATTAGTTTTGATATGGAGTAACATAAATCTTTCGATGTGTACCAGACCAGTTCAGTATTTGAACAACATGATTTTGCTTTTAGGGTCTCAATTGAGTTCACATATGAAGTCGTATTTTGGGTTTAGAGATTGAACAAGTATCGTTTTGAGTTGATGGGTATGATGTCGAACACCATTTCGACATATGGTCAAATAAGTCGTTCACATATATGGATTGTGTGTTCGATGTGAGAAGTTTTCTTGAGTTCGCAACATGTGATCATAATTTAGGTTTCACTTTGGTTAATTGGTTTGGAGGTCAAACAAGGCTTCACTATGGGTCAACAGGGGTGACGTCGAACACAATTTCATTGTGATTATTCCTACTGTTTGCATCTGGAAATTGAAGTGGAGAAGAAGGCAAATGTTTGTGTCACATCCCTCAACTTTCAATGAATTGGTAGTTTTAACCCACTTTTGATATGGGGTAATAAAATGTAAAGAATGCTTAATTTTCATTTCAAATACTTGCAGTATATGCAACTTGGCAGAATTTACCTAGTTTCGACATTGGGTTAAAATTCTGTGAAATGGGAATAAATTTCGAATCAGGTCCATGCAGTTGATGCAAATTGACACTTTATGCCCAATTTTGCAATTGGGGTAAAGTTTCACATTTAAGGCCGTTATGGGCGTAACAGGTCCTTGCATATTTTGAAATTGACAGATTTTACCCAAATTTTTGAATTTCAAGTCAAATGCGGTTCGAGAAGTATTGAATTTAAAAATTGTGATATTTTTTGGATTTTCCGAATTTATGCAAAACGTTTATGCCATGTGCTAAGAGGAAGTTTTGTATGGAAGATTCTGAATTAAGCGCATTCTCATTTCTCTTCGTTTTTATAATCATTTTTTGATTATAAAAAGTGGAAGAAAATTAAATATGAGAATTCCAAAGTTGTGAATTTTTCATATTATGTGGATTTGAAGACCGATGTGAAGTTGAGAAATTGAAGTTTATGAAGTGATTCGATTTGAAATTCGGAAGTGATTTGGGTTTTCCCGGTTCATGATGGGTTTGGACATAATGAATGTTTTTGGGTTGTGCTTTTATGCTCAAATTTGGGTAATCTATTGTGGAGGTTTGGATACTTCAAATTACCATTTGATGCTCAGTTTGTAAGGTCTCACACTCTAGAACCTAGATTGGGAAATCATTGAAGAATTGAAGATTTGATGTTTATTTCCACATTTTTCCTTCTTGAGGCTTAGTTCGTGAAGTTGCTTATTTTGGAAGATTGAAGCGGTTCATCCATTCCTAACTTTGAGGGGGAGAATGTTGGGGTGCAAAGTTATTCATGGAGTGACTTTGTAATGGTTTAACTTGAAGATCCACTTGCATATGGGATTGATGCCTTGTTGTCACACCCCCGAACCAGACCGCGGAAACGTCCGGGGGCTGTCGTGACTCATTGAATACCATCACAATGCATATACATGAAACATAACATTATACATCACCAACATTTGGAATGATACAACTGGTAACGTTACATTCATTACATTGTTCAGAACATTACATTCTCAAAAAAAATAACTGTTTGATACTACTTAAACCACAGCAAAACGTCATAGAGTACAACTCATCCTTCACCTTATCTGTTACCTGAGAATACAAGTATTTTGAAAACGTCAACATATGAAATGTTGGTGAGTTCATAAGTAGTGTTTGAAATCCAATGTATTGTTTGAAAACCATCAGAAAATCCGATATTTTCTAAAAATAGAATAGTGTAAAAATATGTGATGATCCATGAGTATGCTTGTTTGAATTCTATAGATGTAAGCGTAAGAGTTGTGAAATTCGACCGGTAATTCATAATTGTAATTGTTGAAAACCCTAGGAAAACCCGACGTTTTCCTATCACTTTGCTTTACTTAGTTTGTGTACCGTTGTTTCGTTGCGTTAGAGGAAACCGTTGAGCTCCGGAGGCATTGAGAATACAGTGGGTGGTGAAGTGTTGTGACGTGCGTTAATGAAAACGTCCAATCGACAACCTTACAAGCGATCCCTTAGGCGTGACTCGTAATTCTTCACACCACTCAATCCTCCCGGACTTGTGTAGTCCCACGACCGGAGGGAAGAAGAGAAGGTGCGAAACCCTCGGTATTTCCCCGCGTCGTTCAAGACCATTGCAATTGCGAAGGGCCCGAAGCCCAACCCGCAATCGTGAGTTACAGACTTTACTAGCAGCACTGAAGGACCCTTGGGGACCAGCAGCATGTTTGCCATTGAAAGTCCTTTTACGTTATGTCGGATCGGTAAAACCCAACACTTCGTAAGAGAGAGAGGTCTTCGGGCCTTAAGATCAGGTCATTGGGCTAGCTAGGCTCAACAAACAAGATTTTACACTTTTGGGGCCCAAAGATGGTGCGTAGACGTCTGTGCACACTCGCATGTATAGTGACTTCCCAATCGTTATTAGTTATGAATCGTAATGTCGTAATGTCATAGTGTCGTCGTGTTAGTAGTTTCGGATTGTTATTGGTTCGAGACCGAACCAATTCGTTTGACAACGACTTTTGGTATTGTAATGTATTGTATTTCGTCGATAGGCGTGGTACCATCATTTGGTCAAATTGCATGTATTGAACTAGCCTTGAGAATTTTCTATTTTCAGTCCCTCCTTATTTGTAAAATTTACCCTTTTCACCCCTTTATTTAAAAACTTTCCGGTTTGGTCCTTAAATCAATTTTCTTGACATTTTAACACCAAAAATTATTGAAATAAGTATTTTCCAGTATATTTTTCATAGAAAACAGCTTAAGTCCTTGAAATTGCAGTTTTCTCGGTTATAACCCCTCTTTTTCGCGATTTTTACATTTTTGGCCCAATTTGGAAATTTTTTGCAACTTTGGTCCTTTTTAAATTTGAAAAGCATTTTAAACCTTTGAAAAGTACATGGAACACTTATAGTCCACTGTTTTACAGAAAAATGCAGTTTTGGTCCTCCAAATTAGAAAATTTCGCATATTGGGCCTCATTGGGCCAAAAATGTCATATTTAGCCCAATAAGCTTGGAATTTATGTTTTTAACCCTCCAAATAGTACATTTTCAGAAAATGCATTATGTAAACTTTTTTGACTCATCTCACCCATCAGATTTCGAAATATTTCATTTTAGACCCTTCAACTTTGTATTTTTAACATTTTATGTCAAAAAAATGAGTTTTTAGCCCAAAATAAGTGTTGTCAAGCCATTTGGCTATTTTTCTTAGTATACTTTGCATGTAATAGTATATTTTATGCTAGAATAAAATATATATCTCGGTTTTTAGTATTTCATCACTAGATCTAGCATCAAAATCATACAAAACATACATATAAGCATAGAAATCAACCACAACATACACATAATGATGGATCTACACCTTTTCTTGTATTCTCCCCCACAAAAACTTATAAAAACCGAAAATAAGGGGGTATGAAACTCAACTTGGGTGTTGATTCGGTTTTTGAAGAAAGAATGGAAGAAATGAAGTGATTTTTGGCCTTTGCACTCCTTGATGAAGTTTTCGAGTTTATGGAGTTTTCTAGAGTGCAAGATCATGATTTTTGCATGGATTAGGAAGGGATTTTGATAAAACAAGGAATAAAAGTCATAGATCCAAGCAAAACCTTACCTTAGATGATGATTTTTGTGGAAGAACTTCCTTGAATGCTTCCTAAATCTCAAGATTTTGGATGGAGAAGAAGAAAGAAGCCTTGAGTGATCTAGAG